GAGATCACAAGTTGNCCAGACTCTATATACGACTCTGAGTTAAATGGAAAAAATTATTTTGGTCTGAAGTTGAACATGAGTTACCTCCCATCAACTATTTTGTAAACAAAAACATGGATGTCAAATCTGAGAGTGTCAATTCTGAACTCGATCAAACAGATGCCATTTGTAATCCACATATCACTTTAACTGACATCCCTACAGAAATTATTCAAAAAATACTCAGCTTCAGTTCCCTAACGATACAAGATGTCTGCATGGTGTCTTGTTCCTGTAAAAAACTTAATATTTGTTGCTTGCAATATAGCAATAATTTGTGGAAATCAAAAGTAGTTCAAAGGTAAGAATTTATCATTGGAACTAAGTATTATCGTATTATTATGTCATTTGAAATTTACATTGCATTTCTATGCTAATGTTATGTAATTGTTAGTATCAAACGTATACTTGTTCAATGAATGCCTAGCTAGATCCTACCCACAAGCAATTTATTGAAGATTAGATTTCTCATAGTTTTAAAGAATGACAAGCTTTGATTGGTTAAAATTAATGTCGTTAGAGTGGAACTGTAGAAGAAGACTTGTTAGATTACAATTAATACTAAAAATATCTTTTTTTTTTTAAATGTTTTATTCAATTGACCCACCTGTTTAGTATGGTACATAAACTGCATTTTTTTTTAGATGGCCAGGATTGTTATTAAGTACGAGTAAGCAAACAGAAAATAAAGTGAACTGGAAAGAAATTTGTAAATCCTGTGTAAAGACGGGACATTTAGTGCGTTATTATTTAAATAATTTGGATGTTGATTATGCTGTTGAAGAAATATCCAGTGAAAATTTCAATCCATTTATATGTTTAATAGAGGAAAATGATATTAGTGGAGGTATAGTTGTTAATGAGTTGTTAAGTATAGTTCATGATGGACAGAGGTAAATATTTTTATGTTTTACAAAGACCCTAAAGGCAAGTACTCTCTATTCAACAAAATACAATATATGACTATCCGTTAACAAGTCATCTTGTTAGGTGCTGTAATTAAAGGTAGACTATAAATATATCTTAAACTGCCATAACAATAGTCACTACCTTTTACCAACTAAAAATTCAGCTGTATGTCATAGTTTCCATCAGATGTCTGTGATTCCCTTAATTATAGCAATTCTTTAAATTATGTTAAAAGATTCTAATCAATTCTAAAGGCCTTTGTGACAGCTATTTGGCAGAATTGTAAAAAACACAGACATTTGACTGAAAAGTTTGACTGGTGCACATCTATGCTACCTGTGTCTCCAATATATACAAAAAATTTTGGAAAACTTCTTCATTAGTCATTTTGTCTCCAATTTCAAAACGTGCTGACCTGATTAGAATTTTATATTTGAAACACGTAGACAACATGAGTTTAGCTCTTAACAATATAGAGTGGTTCTAATTTCAGACACAAAAATCTGACTATAAAATATTATGCTGTGAAAGTGTTACGTCATATTCAACAGTTGCATTTATCAAAAAGATGGAAAACATTTCTAGAGTTGCCTGCTTCACAACAGAGCCTGGAAACTGGTATGTAGTTAAAGGAACAGGTTTGCCATCAATTTGACCAATCGTATCTTAGTTTCAGAGACAGAAAATGTTTAGCTTATCTAATCAGTAATATGTTCACTGCTCACCAATCAAAATTAAAGCCTCCATGTGTATCCAGACATATCTGTAGTCAAACTAAGTGAAATTCTTAGTTTCAGATATATTTGGTGGAATTAAGTTATTTTCATACATTTCTCGTATTTATTAGACTATTTACTTATTTTCAAAATCCAAATCAAACTCTGAAAATGGGGAAACCTGTCACTATCATTTAAAGGGAATTAAATGAGATTTTTTTTAGTACATGTGTAGGCCTATCAGTTACACTTCTGCACATAGCTTTTCAGATTTCCCATCTGCCATCCACATCTAAAGCATCTGTGATCGAAAAGATAGGTTAAAAAGTCACTTTTAATTTATCCTTGTGAGTTTGATTGTGTGTCATGGGTTTGAATCCCCTCAAGGTGAGTAGATTTTGAGGCTATGGTCAATGCTTTGAAAGTTCTTTCTTTCTACCACTTATTAGAAATCGATGCCAATTATACCTTTAATGGTTGTAGGTGCCTGTCTTATATCACGGTGGTGTCAACCTACAGAAATTGTTACTGATCAGAATATATCAAACCAGTTAGATAATATAGTCAGACTAGTTAAACAAGAATTAAAAGAACGAAATCAAGATCATCCAGCCATATCCTATACTAGTCCAGATTCAGAAAACACTTCTGGTAAGTAGAATCTTATAACATGAATAAACTGGTACTTATGTTATGAATAATACGATTACTCAACCTGAAATTTTAATTATAAAAGTCATAATCATAGATACTATTTTGGGAATGCACAAAAAAGATTTAATAGGGCTTGACCAGTACTTCTGGAGAACTTAAATATTAAAAAGGAATACATTTAAATCTACAGAGTACTGTTGTCACGAAAACACATTTCAAAATAATAATAGGTGCCTTGGTTTGTAAAGCCAATCAAAAACATTCTGATATATTTTTATATTTATTTGATTTTTATTTGATTTCAGGATTAAGCGAATCATTATGGAGTCCAGAACAGTGTAGATTGGTGCTAGAATGTATCAATTTTGTTATGTTTGATAAACTACAGTTTAAAGGCAATAAATCAGAATATTATGATCCTCAAAACTCATACATTGATAAGGTAAGTTATATTGCCCTCTACAATTCCCTGCTGGGACACCTAGTGTCATTTTGTGATTGAGTATGTCTATTCAAATACATTTGAGGTGAGGGTATATAATGGAAACAACCATACATTAATTTATGTTTATTAGGAAGCATTCTACCAGCTGGTCTCTTGGCATATCTCCCAGGACAACAAGGAATACCAACAAGGAAAGATGACTCATTGAAGGTCACCAGTCTTTCTCACACCAATCAAGATAAGAACCCATGACCACCATTTGTTTGTAACCAAGCAATGATATCATTTAAAGTTTGCAACACTTTAACCATCTCGACAGAACCCCTTGTTCAAGTTATATTTGCTTGGAATATCTGATAAACCTTGACAATTTCATTGAAGACAAACTTTATTTTCCTTTGTAGGTTTTAGAAAGAAAGAAGGGTATACCAATTACTTTATCTATTATATATTGCTGTCTTGCTAGAAGATTGGGTATACTATGTGAACTAGTTAACTTTCCTTCTCATTTCCTTTTAAGATGGCAAGAACATCCATTGTAAGTTCATTTTAGTTGTAAAGTTGATTGTGCTAAGATATTACTACTACTATTACTAATATACTATAACTACCAAAAAAGGTGCCCTCACTACATGGTGATTACCAGTTGTGTATGTTTGTCAATAATGTAAGTGGCCATGAGTTTCAAATGTAACTCAAAACTCTTTTGCATGAGAGTTGCTTTCGAAACATATGACTACAACCATATGCCACTTGTATTAGGTTCTATGAGAAGATGAACAATGTGCATCCATGAATTTCCATATTTAGATGGGAATATATTTTATATTGAATATATTTTTATGTCCAGAATACTTCACAGAAGCATCAATTATTCACAGAGTACACTGTAAATATACATTTGTTCACTTTAGAGCTGTATCATCAGTAGAAAGATATACCTATATTGATGCTTTTCATGGTGGTCAACTATATACACAGGAAGAATGTTGTCCAGCCTTGGGTATCCCTAAATCTATAGGTCATGATATATCATTATTTAATTCTATAGAAAATGTTAAGGTAGGAGGTATTCTTTTGTATGTGGAATGTATGTGCTGAGCTCCATAGTTTCTACTTGTGACCTTGGCCAGTGCTTCTACAGGAGATATCTCTTATAATACATTGAAATACGGCAAAATACATCAGTGATGTCATCATTTGCCTAACAGCTGTATTATAAACGAAATTTGTAATGTTCCTGTAATATCCCTCTTTTAAAAGGTAATCGAGTCAAGTCTCCAACATTGATATTCCAATGCAAATGGCTTTCAAATTTTGTCTTTAAGGTATTTGAAAGAATTGCAAGGAATTTAGTTGGTATAGGTAGACATCAAAATCAGATGGGAGACGGGTTATTATGTTTGAGGAATGCGCTAGAGTTATCTCTCTTGATTTACCCTGATGATTTAGAAATGAGATTAGTACAAGTTAGAATAAATTTACAAATGAACATCAATTTACCAAAGGTACGTTTTCTACATCTTTGTATATGGAAGTTTAAAGAACTAAGATAGCTGTGCGAGTTAACCAGGTTAACCTAGAGGCCTAAGGTTGGTTGTTCTTTGTTGATATTTTCTAATCCAGTTTCTCTAGTTTGAAAGACTGATAATGAAAATCATCTCCGTGCTCAGATTGTTATTATAGATATATTAAAGTGATTATCAAGAGGTTTTCTAAATTTGTAATGTGTATTGGGGACACTGATAGCATCAATTTGCACCATTCCAATTTTCCAACAAATGTCTGTTAATCCTGCAGTTTGACTAAAACTAAGTGCTTGATGACGTCACTAATCGCAAAATATGCCTGTATGCATTGTTTTTGCAATTATTTTTAGTGGAATTGCCGAATCTACAGACATCTGATTGGAATTTGGAATGGTGCAATTGATGCTTTCAGTGTCCCTGATACGCATAAAAAATTAAGAAAACCTCTTTACAATTCCTGTAAGGGTTTTGGAAAGGGAATCAAATTATATAGTATGGCTTTATATTTTTTATATACAGGTACTAGATAGTTTAAAAAGAATAGCTGATATAGACCCAACAAGACTTGGTATTGTAGCCTTTCTTCAACAAGAAGCTGAGAAAATGATAGCAGATAATACTGCTGTCAAAAATAAAAAGGTAAACCCATTTTGCTTGAAAGCATTTCATTATAGAATTTTACATTTAAAGGAAATAATTCTGTACACAAATGAATTTGAAAGCTCAAATTCCAATGTTTTCCGAAAATTCCAGTTTCTGATACCACAGTATATTTGGTCAAACGGATGGTGAAGCTGAGCTGTCCTTTTAAACAGAATTTTATGGCATATTTCTCTTGGCTTTACAAGACACAAAGCATTATTAATAATTTGCCATAATATAACATAATATATTGCCAGGAGTAGTATACCATAGAATTAAGTTTATCTTTCTATAAGAATATAAAAATATTTCGGGAATGTTAGTTTCAGTTATTATAGATTAGTTTATTAGATTAATAATAGGATTATGATCAAACTTCTAATTGTGTCAATGTTCTGTTACAGCCTGATGTTAAAGTCAGAAGTGAAAATAAAGATGTCAAATTTTCTATTGGAATGATAATGAAACATAAAAAGTAAGTGATATTTAGTTTTGACAACAAGAATTGTTTTGAAAGTTTTGAGATTCAATATGGAGGAAAAAGTGTAAAGTTATCAAATTAGGAATATTGAAAAGGTAAGGAAAGTAATAAGAATAGTCAGAGAACAGCCTCCATTGGTTTGATCCATTTAGGAAGACTTCCTTCGATTGCACACCCAATCATATTGTTTATAGTCTTTCTGTTGAAGGAACTGATTGGCTGTTTTTAATAATTTGTTGATATGTTATAGATATATCATTACATGTGTGTAATTTATTGGATGAATATTACCTTGTAATTTGTTGATATCATGTGTGCAATTACCTTGTAATTTGTTGATATCATGTGTGTTATTTATGGTTGGGATGAATATTACCTTGTAATTTGTTGATATCATGTGTGCAATTACCTTGTAATTTGTTGATATCATGTGTGTAATTTATGGTTGGGGTGAATATTACCTTGTAATTTGTTGATATATTATAGATATCATTACATGTGTGTTATTTATGGTTGGGGTGAATATTACCTTGTAATTTGTTGATATCATGTGTGTAATTTATGGTTGGGATGAATATTACCTTGTAATTTGTTGATATCATGTGTGTAATTTATGGTTGGGATGAATATTACCTTGTAATTTGTTGATATCATGTGTGTAATTTATGGTTGGGATGAATATTACCTTGTAATTTGTTGATATCATGTGTGTAATTTATGGTTGGGATGAATATTACCTTGTAATTTGTTGATATCATGTGTGTAATTTATGGTTGGGATGAATATTACCTTGTAATTTGTTGATATATTATAGATATCATTACATGTGTGTTATTTATGGTTGGGATTTAACATGTCAAGCCACAGAAGAATGGATTATACAGATGGGTGTAAATAGATTACCTCGTGATCAATTTCAACCATTTTACAATGTACTTGTTCAAGATGGCAGTAATAGATATGCTGCTCAGGGTATGTATTATTTGCTACAAAATTTTCTATAATGTACTGGTTCAGGATGGCAGCAATAGATATATTTCTCAGGGTTTGTCATTAATTGCACATTCTTTATTCATTGGGTGCATCAGACTTCTGTTAAGCAACTCCATCCAGTAATGGACCAAATTGAATATTTTTTTGCCTGCTTGCTTAATACCAGTTTGACTGTACCTCAAAGAGAAAATTAAGGCTAAATAATTTTAATCCTACTATTTCAGAAAATCTCCTGTATCCAGATGAGTTTTCAGAAATAAATCATCCAGAAATTGGACGATATTTTGAGGAATACTGTGGAAGATATTATAAAGCTAATCCAATCAAGGCTCAGGAATATCCTGATGATACAGAGACCACTGTAGAATTAATAAATGAACATTATACCAGTTGATGTAGATAGCCAGGTGGTGCTCGATTTGAGAGCAAGTTCCGTCTGTTCAGATTCTGCCCCCAATCGATTGGTATGAAAGGGGATATATCACATTCAAAATTGTTCTTTTCTTTTTTTTCTTCTCATCCATGTTGATTTCATAAATCCTGTATGTGCAGAACTCTGCAATTCAGCGCCCCCTATACCATGATGCCTGTATAAGATTCAAATCTGATATATTTAATATCTTGTTTTATCTGTACATATTATATAACATTATGTTTATAATTTAATCAAATCAATTTAATATAATTAATACAACTGACAAATTTATGGAGTCACTTCACGATATGTTTTGTGCTTCTATTATTTATACAAGGCCTGTTTTTAGCCCATTAAGTAATTTTTGTTATGAACTTCACATTCAATGAATTCAAATGGAGGCGTGAATAAGGTCTATTAGATATTAGTCAATTGATCCCCACTGATTTGTCCCCTGTATTGTATAATACAGTACATTATCTTGGGATATTGAAAATTGGTTCCTGCAGTGTTTGATCCATTTTTTTTGTCTTCAGACATTTTTCTATAACCTGTGAAATCTGGCTGCAAGGCGTCTAAATGGAGTCGCTTACCCAGAAGACCCAGCACTTCTATCTGGTGAGCTAATTAGGCTTAATGGTTCATAGTTCCAGTGATAATTCTTCACTTGAAATCATTAACAGTGCAGTATTCTATGAAATGTAGACTAACCCTCCCAAAGGTAAATACCTTGATACCAATAACACAATAACCTAAGTGAATTAAACTTGTGATTTTACTCATCAATAAATATATAGTATATACAAATGCTAATAAAAACTGTTGGTAACTTCAGATGGGACATAAGTATAATGCTGTTATAAAAGTTTGAAGCTAACCAGCCAGAACAGAAGACAATTTTCTTATACTAAAATTGAGAAACTTACAAAATGTATATAATAAAACCAAAGGTGTTGTCAAAAATAAAACATTTAAAAATTCACAGCCCTTAGATGAGATAAACATATGAAAATATGTTAAAATCATAAAATTTGTTCATGCCTTTTTATTCCAATAAATAGCATTTATCAAAGATTTGTCAAAGAATTATCACAATTTTCCAAATGTAAGCCTATTAATGCTGCCAAAATAGTACCAATTTCAACCTGATGCTGTATTTTGGAAAGCAGTCATTTGCGCATATGAAAATCAAAATTTACAAGTAAGTGAACGTTCCTAATTTGCACAAATTTCTAAAGTCATTAATATTTGGAGATTTTGATGCTCTTTCTCATTCCCATACATTCCACCTCATCAACAAAGATGGTGTTGGATTTGATTTCAATATCCTCTTCTAAATCAAGTTGATTTCGTACAAGTCCTTTCAATGATGATTGTGACTGATCTAATCTAGCCTGTAAACCAGCAACGGAGGTTTCAATTTCTCCAACTTCTTCAATTAGTCTGTACTGAACAGCATCCCTACATAATTCTACATTAGGTCTGGATGTTCTAGTATCAAGACGAGTGTGAGCGACTTTGAGTGGTGCCTCTTTATCACTGATAGCCTTCTGTAGTTGTGCAATATTCTCTTCCATATCCTTAATTTGTAAGAGAATCTGAAAAAATAATTTTCAATTTTGATATAACAAGAAAGTAATATATTGGCTAAACCATGAGGTGGATTCTTTAAGTTAGAATTTTAAATATATATGCACCAGCATGGAATGTTCAAGATACTGCTACAATGGGAGAAAGTTGGCCAGATAACCTTGACCCCTGTTTTCAACACTACACTTACAACAGGTACAGCCTAAATCCAATCAATGCCAAGGTAACAATAGCTTCAGTCCAGTCAATGCCAAGGTGAAAATAGTTCCAGTCCAGTCAATGCCAAGGTGGCAATAGTTCCAGTCGATGCCAAGGTGACAATAGCTCCAGTCCAGTCAATGCCAAGGTGACAATAGATCCAGTCTAGTCAATGCCAAGGTGACAATAGCTCCAGTCCAGTCAATGCTAAGGTAGCAATAGATCCAGTCTAGTCAATGCTAAGGTGACAATAGATCCAGTCCAGTCAATGCTAAGGTAGCAATAGATCCAGTCTAGTCAATGCCAAGGTAACAATAGCTCCAGTCCAGTCAATGCTAAAGTGACAATAGCTCCAGTCCAGTCAATGCTAAGGTAGCAATAGATCCAGTCTAGTCAATGCTAAGGTGACAATAGCTCCAGTCCAGTCAATGCTAAGGTAGCAATAGCTCCAGTCCAGTCAATGCTAAGGTAGCAATAGCTCCAGTCCAGTCAATGCTAAGGTAGCAATAGATCCAGTCTAGTCAATGCCAAGGTGACAATAGATCCATTCCAGTCAATGCCAAGGTGACAATAGCTGACCTGCTACTTAGGGGCGAAACTTTGGATGGAATAGTGGAACAGTGGAACTTTTACACAAAATGATTATTTTATGTATACCTTGTTGAGATGATCTTCAAGTTTTCCTTTTGTATCTTTAGTTTCAGCAATTCTCTTACTGAGTGATAAATTCACAGCTTCACACTGTTTGGTCATATCATTAGCAGTAGATTGAAGAATTCCATCAACTAAGGACCGTAACTCTACTGAACTCTGTCTCTCACGTTCTGCTCTCTCAATATTTTCATTGGAGAAATCTTGCCATTCATCTGGTGTGACTGAACTGAAAATATAAAGAAAAGTTTAATATCCTTGTTTATGCCTGTAGAAAGACGTAACATAGCTATCTAGCTTGGAGAGGATATAAGGCAATTTTGAAAATACGAGTCTAATTCTATAAGTAGCTTTTATGTTATACTGAGCTGACATGTCACCTACAAGTGCGACCTGACAAATAAATCAATTTGGGTTAAGTTTTTTTTTTTTTTTTTAGCTTGGACAGGTAGGCCATTTTTTCAGCAATCATACTTTAGTCTCAGAAGCGACATGAATTGTATTCTTAAGCCCGATTAACAAATACTTAACGTACAATGATTTTAACATTTCCTTCGTCTGATTGGTTATTAAAACTAAATTTGGTAATTGACCAATCACATTTTAGTATTTCCTTAAATAGGAATTTCATCTAAGTTTATTTTTTTTTAAGATGATCTCTGATCTAAAAGCCCTATTCTTCGTTTTGGATAATCCAAAATGGATGAATTGTGGTAGATTTCTAGTGTCACTTACTTGGCTTCAATCTTGGCAACGCCGTCTTTCAAGGTTAAACCTTCCATATTGTTTTTTAAATTCTCCAAATATTCATCAATAGATTGAGCATGGAATTTATCTTTTAAATCCTTCTCTAGTTGAAATTTAGCTTTTCTGTTGAGTCTGAAATAAGCAGGACAGTTAAATTGAATTTTTTTTTTAATTCTTTGTTTAATTATCTCCCTTTAATCTTCAGAGCAAATTGTCTCCCTTGTGTTTCTAGAGCAATTTACCCATGCATTAGTTAAAGATGAATTCGATCTGGTGAATAAGATAATAAATCATAGGTCTGCTTAAATAAAAGGCTCTGTGTTCTAAAGTTTTAAATCTTCGATCATGGAATCAACCAGATCCAAAAATATCACAAGAAAATTACTTTTCAAACTTTGGATTCTAATCCTTTAAAATTCATAAATAATTGCAAATTAATGTAGTCTGTCATATTTGCAGACATTCCCATCTTTTAACATTAAGAATTTCATCATTCCTTTAGATTATCTCCCTTTAGTCTTCAAATCAAAATCATTTCCTTACCTGACTTGTTCCTGAGCTTGATCCAGGGTTCTCTGTAGTAAGGCTCTCACACCTTGTATTGTTTCTACTTCCTTAATTAATTCTTTCTGGGCATCATCATGAACTAAATCAATACCAAACCTTTGTTCTCTGCAAAAAATTTCAAAATTTAATTAAAATCTAACGAAAATAGAATATAATTAGGCATATTAATTACAGACATTTTCCTGCATTTCTAAAGCCAGAAAAATAACTTGATAGACATTGGCATACAATTTCACAAGGCAAATCTGGTATATTTCCGAAGTAAAAAATTTCCTAAATTTATCAGGTATCCTTCAAATTAACCAATGAAGATGTCTGTTAGTATTTCAGCTTACCTATTTGCTAAACATCTTTGAGCTATATGTAAAGGCTCATCAGTAGCTTCTAAAGCTTTTTCTACACGATTTTTAAAGGCTAACAAATTATCAACTTCTGTTGTTATTCCTTCTAATTTATCATCTAATTCTTTCTTCCAATATCTGATATCATCTAATCTTTGTTCTGCAAGGGGAAAATAATATATTTGCTTTATGGAAAGTATTACACCTAATTGTCACAGCTGGTTTTCAGCCACTCAAATTATTGTCTAAGCAAAATAAAAAAAAAACAAAAATTTGAATTTTGTCCATTATATTTAAGGGAAGTGGAATAATGTCGATGAAAATATAAACATGAATATACATTAAGTATTCAAAATTTGTTTTTACAGAGGACAATTTTGGGACTATTTTAGGTTGAAATTTCTAGGAGGGAAATGTGTTGCATATCAGGTTTAATTAGTTAAGATAGAATAGATTGAAATGAATTTTTAATGACGTCTCACAAGAATACTATTCTCATCTCAGTCTAATCATTGTCTATATGAATGACGTAATACTGGTACATATTATCATGGCAATTCATTTTAATTTTCTTTGCCAAACAATAAATAAATTAGAAACACATTTAAAATCTTGTACAGGAGAAATAATTAATGCATTGAACACTTTTAACAATGATAAATCTTGTGTTATAGTAATATTCAAATTACAGTAATAAAATATTTTCACTGTTAAAATAATCCTCAATACAATTGTACAGCGATAAAGAAATATTAAAACAGAACCTAAAAAAACATGTTGTTACTCAGAGTTTCATGGTATGCGATCTTTAGACAACAGGCCTATATAATTCAGCCAGCATCCTACTGAATTTAGACAAGTAGAACTTACTCTCATGTCTACATTTCAAGACAAGTTCTGTGGATTAAGTAGATAGAGCAGCTGCTCAAAGAGTTCAGCTTATTCTGAAAAAAGCGGTTTAAGTATACATGTATAAAAAATGTCAAACTTACGAAATTTCTTATTAACATCTCTTTGTGATTTATCTGTCCTTTTTTCAGTTTCATCAGCATACCTTTTAGATTCATCTATCAACCTCTCAGCAGCTTGGCGTTCAACTTCAGCATTAGCATATTTTGTTAAATTGGATCTGGTCCAGTCTTCATGTGTAAATCTTTGAGGTGTTTGAATTAACTGTGCCATGATGTCTGTTGAATGAAAATTTATGATTAAAAATTTAGGCCTGTATTGTCTGATTACAATTTGCCAGTACCTATATATATGCCTACTGCAGAACTACAATATGTTGTAGGTAGGGGCCTACACAAAATCCATTAATTTCTTTCTAAGTCTAAACCAAGCTACATTAATAAATAATCCCAAAAATCTTTTTTTATTTATATTGACAAAATCTGATTTCAAAGCGTAGGCTAAGATTTAAAGACAGTGAGTTTGTGAACTGAAAGGACAGGCACCAGGTCCAAGTTGATGAGATCTAACGATTGAACGAACAAACTCAACTGTGTTGAATATTGCTTTTGATCTGTCGACACAAGTCAAACGATTGAAGATTTCAACAAGAAAATTTGCCAAAATTTTTAACAACATAAAAACCACTTACCAAATTAAAGATGATATGTTTTTGATAGCTAAAATTGAAAGAAAATGCACACACTGATCACTTAACCTGTTGTTGTTTCTTTCATAAATAATGGAAGATTCCTTAGCAACCTTTGTTGCTACAACAATTTAAGCAATTTTTATTGGCTGTTTTAGCTAGAGACCACCGGAAGTGAACATCCAGCTTTGACCTTTGACCTTTTTAATGATACCACGTGTGTATAGAGGGCGTCTGATTATTCAATCAAATCTCATCGTACGATGAAGTCGCGTGAAATATAATGAACCGTTTATAATTTTGGGGGACTGTAAGACTAATCTGCAGTGATGGATCGTAGTAAGAGGGAATTCGTGTCACCATTTATATCTCGACCAAATGCGACTAGTATGGCTGCAATGCCAGCTTCGTCAGGACCGAGTTTCCAGAAAAGTATCAAAGGGATTATTGCAGGTTCGTTACTCTTGTTTATTTACTGGGAGATTATGGAGAGACATCTTCGCAAAAATATTACTTTGACAGCTTATACCAAAATTACTGTATGTCACCTATGTACTGGTAGGCCTATAACTATGTCTTTTTGCTCAACAATCGTTTATCATGTACATCAATAAGGATGATATTATACAATAGGCCCTAGTATTTTGATATTCAATACTTCCTTTTAAGTTTTATACCATAATGCCAGTTTCCACAGTGTGGCTTATGTATCATTAATAGAGCAGAAATGACAAAATTTGAATTAATCACATTTGCAACTGATGATGTAGCTGTCAAACTTTGGCTCTACCAGCTAGTTAAACCCAATTTTAGCTTCATCCATATCATTTTTCAGAATTAAAATATTATGTAGGCCTAGTAAGAATTAGACTTTAACTCCCAGACCTTTATTGAATTGGAGAAGAACATGATATTTCAATCTGAAATGTGGTACAGATAGCTGAAATTCAGCTTCATCATCTAGAATAAGCAAGTAATTAGATGACTTAAATGTCAGATTTATAATCTAGACAGTTAAAGATGGTGGGAGTAGTGCTGGCACGATACATCTGTGAACAATGTTGTATCAAGAAACGTCACATGCCAGGATACACGTATCGGTCATGTACCTATACTTGACGATACCTGTCATTCCATAAATGAGTGGGGATTCAGTTTTTTAGTTGGTTAATGAAATCACAATTTTGTTTTCACTGACGTGACTGATATCATTGAAAACTATTTATAAAGACTTTAACCACTTCTATCAACTACATTACCAACTATCACAGTTAGTCAGTTACAAAGTTATAAATTAATATATATTGAAAGTTTGAAGATAAAGTGTTAAATTTTATCCCAGTACCCCATTGTGTGATGCGTATCATATCGTAACCCATGTATCCTGATAAGTTTCATATTGTTCCTGCACTATGTGGGAGTCAGCTGGTTGAATAATGTATATTGATCAATGTCTCTCTTTCTACTCTACTGTATCTATTGATTTACTGTCTAAAAGAAAGCTGTAAGATTCAATAATAGTTTTAAAGGAATACTATCTCTTAGGAAAACCAACAGTTTAATTTTTTGCACATTGTAAGTCTAATTTCATCAGTGGACTTAACTTGTGTCACAACTATACTACAGAATCGGACTAAAATCTGGTAAATCCACTAATCACTGAAAATACATAAAGCCTTTTTTAATAATTTCTTAGTTTAATATATTTATTGGAATTTATAGGGATTCTGTTGTTTACTTGTAATACCTGGTAAGTCAACTGATGAATATATTCTCTTACTGGCAGTCTTCCAGAGGAGAGTGCAGGAATTTGATTGGCTGGTAGTGTCATCAAACAAACGAATGTTCAAAGAGGTCGACTTCTCTTATTGATCAAGTATTTGTGCCAAATACAGTGTTGTTCTAAGGTAATAATGTACTGTCAACTGTGAGGTTGTTCTTTTTATAAGTTTGATAAGGAAGAAAGATAAGATTATTTTAACCTTATATTAAATCCATAGAGCTAATAAATCATAAAAATATATAATACAGTAAGCTTATATTGCATGTCATAAATAGAAAATACAAGATAAATATACAATGTGATTTAATATCAGTTTAAATATACCTAATTCTTATTTCAATAATCTTCAATAATATATGTGGATATGATGATTTATTCCATTACAAATAATGCTGAGACAGCATAAACACTCCTATCCATGTCTTGATGAATGTTATTAAGAAAATATCAATATATTATAAAGTCGCATTTAGAGAATAACTAATCCTTTAATACAGCATTAAACATGTTTACAACACGATTTGATGAAAAGATGTAGAAATGACTATTCTTGGCTTATTCAACAACTTAGATGTCTATTAAAAATAGTTTGTGGGATAAAAAAAAAAATAGTTTCAATTCTGACTTATGTAAGGGGGCGATATTATGGACCACAAGTCATTATAACGACTAAATTATGTTTGTGGTATTGGACAGAAAGATACTTATAAATGTTATATAAGTGGATGCCATTATTGACCATAGGCATGTATTGGAATTCATTATGTTTGTGGTATCAGAATGGTGTTTATGTAAGTGGATGCCATTATTGACCACAAGGCATGTAGTCATTATGATTGTGGTATCAGAACGTGCTTATGTAAAGGAAAGACATGTAAAAATGTAAGGAGATTGGTGTTGTTTGTACATAGTGACCTACAGTAGTTATGTTGATTTACAACATGTAAAAACAACAGTAGTATATTATGTTATAAAATAGTTGTCAGTTATGTAATGTCATAAATTAGAAATTGAAAAGTGGAACATATTTTTCATGAATTTTGCTAAAAAAAAACCAACATTTCTTTCCCAGAACCATAGTTTGATTGATTTTAGGCGAAGGCTGGCAAATCAAGGCATTCGATTTGAAATATGACTTAGATTCCGTATTTGAAGAGTCAAAATGGTTGTAATGAAGACTTCAACTGTATTCATAGGAGCAAATAAGTTTTAGAAATTGGGGGATATTGGGTCAATACAAAAAACTCCAAAATTTCATGTCAGTGGACCTGGTGTTTTGTCAAAAATCAGTCAAATGTGAAAGAGCTGAAAACATGTGATGAAGGGTTGTGCACTGATGACTTTACTAACAGGTGAAAGAAAAGCTACACATAATATGGTAATATAAGATGGGGGAATCCAATCCATGATGCATTGACTCTACATTGTATTTTAATCATTATTTGATCTATAGAATAATTATTTATAAACATAGCAAAGATGTAGATTTAATGAGCTGATAGTATGATTTATTGATATATTTATTATTATTTATTCATGACTTTTATCAGAATACCAATAAATCAGATACTTAAAATTAATTATCCTTTACTGTAATGATGTGAAATTTAGTCTTGAATAACATCCAATTTGACATTTAATCAAGTGTAATGTTTATCTCTTATCATCCAGCTCAGCTGTAGTATTTATGTTAAATAAATTGAATTTCCTGATGAAACAAACAGTAGTCAAGTGTATATCACGATGACACTGTAAAGTACACAAAATGAAATGCAATGGAATTTACATATTTTTTTTGACAGTCTAAATCATGACTGTTGAAGCTGAGTGAAAATTCTGAAGGTACTATCTCAAATATCTATGTCTCATGTTAGGTGTCTCAATTTCAGTAAGGTACAAAATACTAGTAAAGTTGACTCAGTTGTGCACCATATTTAATGTTTTGGAATTTCTTATGAAATATTTTTAAATGTACGTCTCAGACCAAGTGGTAAATCTGCAGTATAATTGAAGCAAGGATTCTTTAATTGAAATTATTCTTCAGGGATGTAATTTAGGTCTGATAGGAATGAATCTTGACATGCAATTAGTTTCTTGTCAATGTGATGTCTTCAGAATCTAGATGTTTGCACCTTGTTCTGTTTCACCATGATTGATGATTAGGCATTTTATTTATTTTGTTTAAGATAGTCTGTCTAGAGGTCATATTTTATCAGTTTATAGTATAGAGTTCATTGTATTCAAATCTCACTTTAAAATTTCAGCCTACAAACATCTGACCTTATTAACAACAATCTAGAGTGTTAAATTGAAATTGTTGTAGTCTGTCAAAAAATCAATGACATTGCCTGTTTAGCTTACTACTATCTGTGACAGAGTTGTTTATCATTCTGCCCACAGAAAACACCCAAGCAGTCTGATAGCTACTTGTGAAAAATTACATATGAGTTCTTGATAAAGTCATTTTCCTGTCCAATTGAAGCCTTTTTCTATATGCCCACACTTAAGTATGGACGTATATTGTGGTTGCCCCTGTCGGTCGGTCCGTCCGTCCGTTCATCAGGGGAAGAAACAAACCACAATCTGTCAAAACATTGGGTATTAAAGGATGGTATTTGATGTCAAGTTTTATTATTTATTACACATAAATACGGGCGTATATTGTTCTCAACCTCTCCTGCCTGTCCGTCTGCATGTCTGTACACAATTGTTTTGGACACAATAGAGAATGTTGAGATTTTGAATAAACTTGGTATGAGTGTATGTAATCACTCAATGATAACCGTATTGAAAATCAGACAATTACAACAATCAAACATTTTTCTGACAATTTTAAGCCTGATGTTATTTACCAAGAAAGACTGAAAATTAAGTATTAGTCCATTTCTGTTTCAGGTGGTATAACTGGAGGTCTAGAAATCTGTATTACCTTTCCAACAGAATATGTCAAGACACAGCTGCAACTGGATGAAAAGGCTGGAAATAAACGCTACCATGGTATAGTTGACTGTGTCAAAAAGACAGTTGACAGTCATGGTGTACGAGGGTTATATAGAGGGTTAAATGTATTACTGTATGGATCTATACCTAAATCAGCAGTCAGGTAGTTATAACCTTGTTGAATAGAATTAATTTTTAAAATCCTTACTATTGTTCCTGTGACAACAGATTTAGATGTAACGAGCTTCGCTTTCAGATCCATCATAATTTTGAAAAATGTGTAGTATTGAGATTGTGTGGTAGACAGAATTGAATAAAACAAAATATTTTAGAGGATTTTGTTACAGTAAAATTATGGATCAATTCTTGATTCTTCTTAAAACACAGAAAAAATTAAAATATCATAGAACAAAACTGGACATAACAATAACTATTGTATATTGTTATAATTTTTTTTTCACAAATTTTCATAATGCTGTGATCCTATTGACTGATTTAGCTTCAGAAATTAAAACATTACTGAAATAACTATAGCTATATAAAAGTCATGCATGACAAGCTATCTTTCATTCTAATACAGGAAGACTTGCAACTTTTTGTAATTTTTAAGTCAATCATCTCAAGTGAAGAAATTTTAAAGGGACAAGTTCACCATTTTCGCGGGTTGATTTTGGTCTTGAATTTTCTTCAGAAGTACTGGAAATGTATGAAATTGCATTTAAAAAATATACTTTAAACTCGAAATTTCACTTTCTTTTTCTACATAAGTCTTTTCTATTTATTGTACACTTTTTAACTTTCAAATGCAGATAATTCTGGACACAGGTGTAATTCAATTCTCAAATTGCAACTGCGAGTTCTCGTTTCTGAGACTATGGTACCATTGCTCAAACAGATGGCGAACCTGTCTCTTTAAATCCTATTTACCCTTGATAAATGTTATGTACTGTATCTTGTTTTTCTCAGGGTGTTAACTTAGTTTGTGTACTCCCAAACCTTTTATCTATTCATTGTAACTTTTTTCTGATTTGGTTGTCCATAAAATATCTATGATACAAGGTGATGAATATCTTTTTGTAATATTATTTGAAGATTTGGATCATTTGAAGAATTTAAAAGAAGAAATGTTGATGATAGAGGAGTATTATCTTTACAACGAAGACTATTATGTGGGTTAGGTGAGTAAGGTATTAGGTATTTATGTTCAAGATTTATTCTGTACACTTTTGAAAATTTGCAGACTTCAATTATGGTTATGTTTATTTCAAAATAATATGCCTCTGAAGTGACATGTTTATTACAATTATAGTAATATATTTGATAGGTGCTGGTGTTTGTGAAGCTATATTAGCTGTTACACCAATGGAAACTCTTAAAGTCAAGTTTATAAATGACCAAAGATCAGCTAATCCCAGATTTAAAGGATTTCTACATGGTGTACGTACTATAATCAAAGAACAAGGTAAGTTGATTGGAGAAATGAAATTTAAACCTTTTAATTCTTTAATTTTTCACATGCATGTCTGTTTAGCAATAAAGTTAATTTTGGTCACAAGATAAAACTATTTTATATTTGATCTTTAACCAGCCATTGGCAGCCATCTGGCACTCAAATAAATGCTTTATAGCAGCCTTGTGTTGAATTATAGTATGGAGCAGTATGAGAGTGGACAGAGAGAAGCAGAAACGATTTGTCAATATATTGAAAATTAATCTGATGCTCAACATTGATAATGCACCACAAATTTTCAAGATGCTTATTAGATCACACTTATCATGTATGTCTTGACAAGATTAATGTGAAAATTTAGGTTGGTCCATTGATATAATATCCTTGCAAAGTCTCACAATAAGTGCAAGTGCAATAAGTGGTGATTCATTTTGTACAGTGATGCTATGGCCTTTCCAAACATTTTATCTATAATGTTTTGATTATATGTTTTAGGAATTAAAGGAACATATCAAGGTTTAACAGCTACTATAATAAAACAAGGTAGTAATCAAGCTATCCGATTTTTTGTCATGGAAACATTAAAAGACTGGTATAGAGGGGAAGATAAACAAGCTCATGTTCCAACATTATTAGTTGGATTATTTGGTGCTATAGCTGGAGCTGCTTCAGTATTTGGAAATACTCCTGTTGATGTTGTTAAAACCAGAATGCAGGTATGTAGTTCATTTTAACAAGAGCCAAACTGTCAGCAAGTGCAAATATGATAATTATATAGGTACTGCTTTATCAAACAACAATCACTTGTTGAAATTTTATTCAATGTTTATATGTTTCTCAATCTTTGAAACTCATTGAAACGTTGCTTATAAATATTATAGAGGGTGACGGCAAACAGTGCACAAAATTGTGATGTAAGAAATAGATACAGTCTTGCAACCAGTTTTTAAGCATGATCAATAAATAAGTGACCTATTTGCCATTTTGTTTCAGGGTTTGGAGGCATCCAAATATAAAAATACATTAGATTGTGCTGTTCAGATATTTAAACATGAAGGACCAAGAGCGTAAGTTATATTTTCTTTCTTTCAGGAAACTAAACCAATTTCCTCAATTTTCTGACCTGACTGTGGACTTGTTGTAAATTTGATGCTTTTTGATTGATTTTGTTATTTTAAATCAGAATTGCGATATATTCATGAGCCAAAAGGAAACATTGCTTTTACTTGTGGAAAGCATTAATGCTGTTAATTGAATTAGTCATTTAATAGTTGATAATATTTTTCAGGTTTTATAAAGGAACTATACCAAGATTAAGTCGAGTCTGTTTAGATGTAGCCATTACTTTTATGATCTATGATAATTTTATGAAGTTATTTAATGAAGTATGGAAGACAGATTAGGAATAAGACAATAATTTACTCATGACTGGTAGACCCTGGACTTCGACATCAAATGTAAGGGCAGATAACTCATATGGTGTGGTTTATAATTGGTTCTAATGAGTGAGAATGAATAAAAATGTTTTAATCTTTCAACTTGAAAACCCAGTAGTGTGTGATTACATACATACCATTCAAATATGTCTTGCATACTTATACACATTTTACATTTCTGACATTTCATGATTTGAATGTAAATGAACTTTGTGTATTTGCTTCTTATTTCATTGGTCAGATTTGAAGATCAAGTCATTAATTATTCATCAGATAGTTATTCTGAAGAGTCATATCTAGATAAGCCAATTGAAAGAATGTAATAAAGCATTGCTGGGTATTCAATGATTGCTGAAGCAACTATGGGTAATTTAAGCATTTGATAAATTATCACAGGCTATTTGTAGTATTTATCTTAGCATAGGGTTTTGTAGAATATCTAATTTGGAAATTGTATCCCTTTGTAAATTCTCAAATTGAAGTATTACTTATCATTATAAAGTTTCAATCAAAACAGAATAGGGTCCTTTTAAAATGAATATTAACAGTTTGAGCTGTATTACTTTAAAATTATCAATATCTTATAGTGCATGCAAAAATAAACTACGCAAATTAAGTTAGTGCAAGAAAAAATATCAATGATGATATTTTGTAGAACTTTAAGAAATATTTGTAATTAATTAATTTGTTAACATTCCAAGAATAATTATGGTGCATGGCCCTGATTTTTTTTTTTTTTTTTTGGAAAAATGAATCAAATTTGCTGTAAGAGATTTTTATTTAAATTATTGTAAGAAGCAATGGGCCAAATTTATTTGTTATGGACCATTCTATATTATGTTTATGATGGGACTAATATTTTATGGGTGTTTTTTTTTTTTGTTGTGTGTTATATTTGAATGCTATATGTTATGTTATTATATTATGTTCACATTGAATACTTAAAATCGAGAGATATTTAAAATTTTACTTAGTAAATGGTATTAATAACTAGATGTAATTATTGGCATTTATAATGTTGTACCAGTTTGAAATAAACTGCTTTCTGGGCACTGATGCTCTAAATTTGAAAATAGAATTTACTAGATTGTTTCACATCACCCATTAGTCTGAAATCTTGGATTTGCCTTGTGGAAGTTTACATGACATTGTGAGTTGATTTCCAAGATTTTGATATTTTACAACCAGGTAACTAAAATCCCAATATTCCAATGTTTTCAGAATTTCAATTATACTTATCTTGTTCATTTTGGTTCATTTTCAATAATTTTTACTTAAAATGTTCGTTTTCTAGTAATATTTATTATGAAATTATTAATATTTATTTTTATATTTAATTTTGATAATTTATGTGTTCATTGTTTTGTTTGAAAAATATTTATGTGAGTGTTCAAATTAATAAATGAAATTTGAGATTTGTAAAAGAAATGCTGCATTTAAATATATGAGCTTTGTTAAAATATATTTATAATATATTATAGTCTTTCCATATATCAAACATATCAATTACCAGTAGTGCCAGGGTCCAGTTCCAGTTATATCTTCATGGCACTCAATCGGTCAGTTCAGCTCGATCTGAATTTATGGAATCAACCTGAAGTTCAATAACACAGGTTGAAACGGGTATCAGAATGTGTTCCATGTAACCAAAAAAAATGAGTCAAAATTTACAGTGGTTAAGAAAAAAAATAAAAGGTAAATAATGAATTTGAATCCAGTACAAAACTGATTGGCGCATAGAATCACAACAGAAGAAAAATTTCAGAACTCGCCAATTGAGTGCCAGCCTTGAAATATACTTGATGTCAAGAGTTGTCTACCTTGCTTCTATTATCTGTGAAATAATTCTGATTACCTTCACTTAAAGAGATTAGACACTGGTTTGAATCCCCATCATAACTTAATGCATATGCAAGTCACTATAAAACAGTACAGTAATTTTTATTTTAAGGGAGAAATATTGTAGCTGAAACTGGACCAGTATTTAATATTTGTTGTGACCTAACTAATATATTTTGTCTTGATGTATGATTGCAGTCAGATTATATTAATATGTTTATTTGTGTTGTGGACCAATGAAAGTAGATTATTTTCATTTAAGATTTGTAAAATTAGCTCATATTAGATCAGTAGTAGAAAGTATTAAAACGATTTATTATCAAATATGGCTGAACAAGAAAAAAAAAAAAGTTTTATATAACTACTTTGAACATGTCTTCATACATAGTCATATTTAATGAATTTTCAAGAGTAAGAAATGCAACTAATCACATAAAAATTATCAGTACAGTATTATCTGGAAACAGTCACTATGTGGTATTTTGGCTGGATAAGTTGTTTTTACACAGTAATATAATTTCTACTGTTATTGTTTATGATTGAATGTGGGAAGTAATAAATAAACATTTAGATAGATAAACATAGGTGTTTTTTGTTGTACTGTTTTATTTTGAATGTCATCCTATTGCTTGTCTTTATACTGCTAGAAAATGGGGTTCTAAAATACATTATAATGTGTGTAAGGGATTTAATGCTGAAATGAATAATCTCCTGATGCTTACTTGGTTGTAGATGTTCCAGATGTCTTTAGCATGGTATGCCTATTTTAAGACTTTAAAATGTTCAAGACATTTCAGCACAAGGGTCTTTCAAAGCCCGTAAACCCAACAGACAAAGAGCTTTAACTTGTATTGTCTTTTATCTTGTTGATTTGGGATTTGAAGGCACAATAGAGACTACAGTTTTTATCCGATCTTCATGAAACTTGGATTGCATGTATGTTTTGATGAGATCTCGGTCAAGTTCGAAATTGGTAATAATAGGATGAACAGTTTCAGAGTTATTGCCCTTGTGTTTACAGAGGTGAGACATTGTTCGTGTTTGAATTTGATAATTTGATGAACTGTTTCAGGTTTTTGCCTTGACTTATAGATGACTTTAAGATTATTTGAAAATTCATTATTAGCTCTAAAGATTTTGACAGCTGGTTGTGGGAGTATGTTACCTTGCCTGGCAAGCTATCTTAAAAGATGTTATAGCTATAATTAATACATTTGGTAATTCTCAACAGTCTCTGTAACTATGAGTTAAGTATGTTGCAGAGCTGTTGCTACATTTCACAGTGGACCTATGGCCACTATTTTTTTTCAACCCTAAGAAATGTGTTAGAAAAGTTTGAAACAGAGGCAAATCTTGGGAATATCCAATCTTGGAATCTTGGAAGTCCAAGTAAATTTGGCTTTGCTTATCTATTTTAAGTCAGTCATTGTAAATACTGTCTGTATCTCTGTAGTCTTATCTAGTTTACAGATGCAGCATAAGCAGGTTTTATAATCAAAAGGCATTGACGCTCAATAAAAGCAAAAACCTTGCAATGCCTTTGGAATCGAATATATTTCATCAGAAAAAACAAGTTAGTGATGAATCAGCTGTTTTGACAGGAAGGGGTTTTTAATATACTATAAATAGAAATGACGTTTGCAAATCAATAACAAGCTGGATATTCTCGACTTCTCATTCCGTTTTTTGATTGGTCAAAAGAGTCAGATGACTGACCTTCACCCCGGATGTATTTGTTTGATGTCATGTGACCTTGTTATGGCTGCATTTTCACTTTCATTATCGTCTACTTTGTATTTTAAAGAAAACAAAAAGAATTTTGATAATTACTGAAGGGTTAGCAACGAAAATGAAAGCCGCGGGAAAGAAGGGATCATGTAGATCATCAATACGTTTGTGTGAAGAGAAATTCAGCTGTGAAACCCAGAATCCAGCGGCTGCTATTGTTTGTTTTGAGTGTGGGGATGCAGCTCAATGTTTGAAGTGTGATTCAGCCATCCACTCCATGAAAAAGAATCAGAACCATACAAGAGAGACAATTCCCTCTCCTAAACCTGATCTGTTATGCCAGGTATCAGAATTGAATGGACAATGTAAATCAAAGAACTATGCTGATGTTTATTGCCAGGATTGTTATTATCGATTCTGTTTTGATTGTAATGATAAATACCATCAAAGAAGTGACAAAGCCAAGCGTAAAAACCATACCAGAATAACAATGAAAGAATATCTAAAGAAAGCTGATACAAAATCAAACTCAGGTAATCTGAAACCAATATCACCCTTAGCTATTGATGATGATTCCTTAACCTACATTTCCTGCCCACAGCAAGACAATTTTGTTGACACCAATTCATTTCAAACTCAGAGTTTCCACTCCGACAGTAGTAGTGTGCCTGATATTTGTCAAGATGTGGGTGATATGAATATTAGAAGAGATACCATTGAAGACGAAGCCCGGAATAGTTTCCTTCTATCATCAGAAGATGAAAATCTACAAGTAGAAAGTGATAACGAATTTATTAAGAAATTGGGATGTGATGAAGATGCTATGGTGAAAGTTATTTCCATATTTGGAAATACTGGAGATGGAAAATCGCACACACTGAATTACACATTTTTTAAAGGAGAAGAAGTCTTCAAAACATCAGCTGATCAACAGTCTTGTACTGTGGGAATCTGGGCTGCTTATGAACCTCATCAGAAAGCTATTGTCATTGACACTGAAGGATTGCTAGGTGTTTCCAGTAACCAAAATCAACGTACAAGGCTACTACTGAAAGTTCTTGCCGTATCAGATGTTGTTATTTATAGAACCAGAGCCGAAAGACTACACAATGACATGTTCAATTTTATAGGCAGTGCATCTAAAGCTTATCTAAAACATTTCTCCGAGGAGCTACAAACGGTCAGTAAGAAATGTAAAAATAATACCAGTATCACAACTTTGGGACCAGCAATTGTAATATTTCATGAGACCACTCACACTGAAGTTTTCAAAACAAAAGGTCTGGGGAAAAACTGTCCTGGTATACGTGAACGCATTACAGATTCAGAATGCATGATGGATGCTTTTAGCGATATACGTTATGTTGGAACAAAAACTAACATTGGAACTCAAACTGATTTCTTAGAATTGAAGAAAGTGGTGGTGGATATATTAGGAAATAATAGTATAAGAGCTCATCGTAGACCAGCGGTTGTTCTTCAGGCTCTAAAGACACTGAATGAGAAATTCAATGGGGACATAGAGAAACCCACACCCAATTCCTTTCCTGATCAGTACTTTACCTGTACTGAAAAATGTTTGGCTTGTGGTAATCGATGTATCCATAGCATGAATCACAATACACAAATTGATCCTCATGAAACAAGTCCTGAACATATCTGTCAATATCAACACCAATATGGTAACAAAGTTTATTTGTGTAAGGCTTGTAAAAAATCTGGACACATCCGCATTGTTGTTCCTAAAACATCTAGCTCTAGTGATAATTCATGGGTGGGATTTGGAAAGTATTTGTGGTCTGGTTATGTATTGGAATGTCCAAAATGTGGTATTATTTTCCGTAGTCGTCAATATTGGTATGGTAATAAGGAAGAAGAAGCTGTTTGTGAAGTTGATATACGCCATATTTGGCCTGGCAGTAACCGAGGGCTAGAGGGAAACCATAATGCAGCTAGAAAGGTTCTGGATGGTTTTCATTATGTGGCTGATACCATTTCAACAATCAGTGCCAAACCAACCAAAAATTTGATGGAATGGACAGCAGATCAAATAGCTCCAGAATATTGGGTGCCAAACTCTCAAATATTGGAATGTTCAAGTTGTCAAGTTGCTTTCACTAGTAATACGCAGAAACACCATTGCCGAGCTTGTGGGGAAGGTTTCTGTGATAGCTGCTCATCTAAAGTTCGTCCCGTTCCTGAACGAGGTTGGGGTTTTTCAGCTGTAAGAGTCTGTGATGAATGTTTTGATGAAAGAAAAATTAAAGAAAAGAAAGCTGTGGCAGCTGCAGCAGGTGACAGTGTTCATACAGCACGAAAAGTTGGTGAAGCAGTTAGTTCGACTATTGGAGTAATGGCTTCCGCCATCGAATACCCATTGGATATACTGAAAGATTCAGCACGTCCTGATTACTGGATACCAGATGAAAAGATTAATAATTGTTGTGTTTGTAAGAAAGATTTTGATCTTTTGCTATCAAAACATCATTGTCGTTCTTGTGGTAATGGCGTCTGTGATTATTGTTCCCCCAATCGATTATCAGTACCGATTCGAGGGTGGGATTATCCTGTCAGAGTTTGTAAAAACTGTGAAAAGAATATTGAGCAAATCTGAAAGAACTATTCTTGATGTAGACTTTTTTTTATCAAACCATTTAGTGACGATTAGGAAGCACTCTAATGTAACAATTTTATGGTATATTTAACTATCTCGCATCCTATTTTGCAAAAAGAATTTGAAAAAAATGTATGATTAAGATTTGTAACTTTGACAGAAAAATCTATTTGACTGGTATTCATTGGAAACTTGGTGTCTTGTTTTACATGTTTTCGTACACATAGTAGCATTTTAGGATACCACTAAATTCATCCACAGTAAATGTCTATGATTTGATTCAAAGATGGATTGAAATGACTATTTATTAGGTTATCAGATAGATTTTGCTTTTTCTATGTTTTTATATAATTCAAATTGTAAATTTGGTTAATGTCATGATCAATGACACTAAATAAATATTGTTATGTAAGTTGTTTGGTGCAAACTAGGTGTAGTCTCCCAACTTTTCAGATAGATCAATAAGATAATCTGCTCAATAATGCTCTTCATAATGTCAAGCTATAATGAACTCATACCTTGACATCATTAGCCACTTTTCTTGTACCTGTTACAAGCAGAGCCCTTGACAGAAAATCTGTAAAGAATAATGTTTACAGTCTTTCTGTTTAGGGCTCTGATTGACTTTATTGGCAAGTGCACAATCCAATCTCATCGCTGCATTCTGTGATACAAGAAAAGTGGCTAACGATGTCAAGGTATAAGTCAAACATTATAATAGCTTCACATTGCGAAGATGCACAAACTGGCATAGTCATTTATTAAACTTGACTAAAGAATAGTATAGAATATGGAGATTGAAACTATATTTCATTAATGGATTATATTATAATAGATAAAAATCAAGTTTTAAATATTAAGACTGCAATATACCTGTAGTTGACCAAATTTGATTTTTTAAAATTATTTGTGAAATTATAATGTTGGTATACATTAAATTTTTTGAATGTTTTTTTTTTTTAAGTTTAAAATTTGGTTTTGAAAGAGCTTTATGAAAACAATATGGTTCTGTATATCAGCATTATTTATTCATAAGAAAAAAACTAATCGGCAAATAATTTCAGCTGTCAATTCATTATTGATTAATAATATTTGTGCTACAATCTATTCTTGCACAATACAAGAGCTATGATCTGTGGTAGAATAAAAATGTCTTCATAATTTATTAAAGAATTCAATTGAATTTGACTTCTTCACCATAATTATGTGAGCATTTTAAATTATTCTACCTTTAACTAAGTTCATTGTTTCTAATTATATACAATAGGCTATGAATTGTGTTTTTATTGTATTTAGAGCTGCAAAAACATAGGTAGCGTTTTTAATTGTCTTTAAAAGAGTTATTTCCCTTAGATAACCTTTGTTTTAATGTTATCAGATTTATTAGATATTCTTTCGTTTATTTATTAATTTTGTCAGACACAATTACAATTTTCTGGCAAACGTTTGTGATTCTGTGATTCTTGCTATTCCAGAAAAACTGAGCAGATTATGATCTCTGTATGTATATATTGCTTGTATTTAAATATGTTGCAATTCCATGAACCACAGAAATCAGACAGATAATTGAAATAGTGCAATTAGAAGCAAAAAATGTTGCCAATACAGATTGATCTTAAGAACAAAGTATGCAATTAAATTAAACAGATGTGAGTGAAAAAGCAAGAAATGTCCCTTCTTGTCAGCATTTTAGCTGCAATCATCTGATTTTAGCTGTGGTAACATGTGTGCATAAGCTCAACTCAAATGGAAACTCAAAACATACTTCCATGGGTCTGTACAATGATTTGCAAAACTGTTGCTGTCTGCAAATGCAAAAAATAACTCACTGAACAATACATTGCACTTAATACAGAGGTGTTGAATTTGAGGACACATACGTAAGCAGACATTTAGCGTTTTCTATGGTCTGTTTTTTTAACACATAATCACAGCTTTATTCAGAGAGATTAGTTTTAGATTACTTGTGAATATTTATGTTCACCTCCCCTTTTTCTTTTTAGATATTTCCAAAGTTACATCATAAAAATCATGCCATTTGATAAACATAGTAAGCATGTCTCTGGAAATTGTTTTTTATGGTGTTTCAAAATCAGTGGGCCATAGCTAATTTAATTTGTATAAAGTCACCACAGATAAACTTTTTTTATAACTCTTATTTCAAAGATGTATATGTAATGTTTTTAGTACCCTACATAGGTTCATGTATTGTACTACAATTTCTTAAAAGGAAATCTGAATAGTATGTTACTGATTAGCTGCCAGTGTTCAATGAGATAATATTAATAGATTTTGTTATGTGTTTTCATTTCTGGTATTTGATTGAATATGTACTATGATAAGATTATGTATAATGTGATATAAACTCCTTATTTATTAATAATATTCCATTTTATCTCCATGTCCTCATCATTTTGATTAAGCATGTGTGTTAGAATGATTTATTAATCATATCTGACACATGTATGTAGGTTTTGGAAAATGGGTTCTTGCTCCAAACTTTTGCAATCTGATTGGAAAACATATTTGAGATACAGCATCTTCACTACGTCAATCTATTACGAACTTTGTACTTATGTACAAAGCTGGCACCTATAAAAGCCAATTTTCTTGTGTTATGGAAGTTTTTAAATGCAGCAATTAGTTTATATAGTACGGTAACGAATACAGCCAATCTGATACCTCGACTAGAAGTTTGTAAACAATAAGCCTTAGTGTTTACATTCGCTGTCAAGGGGTCTGATTTGCTGTATTCTTAATCCAATCAAATTGCTGCATTACCTGATACAAGAAAGGTGGCTAATACAGTGAAGGTATAAGGTGAAGTTCGTAATAGCTTTATATTGTGAAGATGGGATGAAGTAGGCCTACAACATCTTGATCTACATTTCAATCACTTTGTTGTTGTTAAATTCATTTTCTTAATTAGTTCATTAGGTTTGCATATTTTGATACTTCTTATCAGAGCAGGAAGCTAGAAGCATCATAACCCAAATCAGCTTTTTTATGAATTTTCTATCTGATCTTTTAGATCATAATCATTTGTAATAATGATTCTTACAAGAAGTTCATAAGATTGCTAATAACTTGGTTAAAATACGAAATCTAATATTATCTCTGAAGATTTTTTCTTAGCAGCTGGTGTACTTTATATTAGATAGAGGATATTATAGTGGAAGATAAAACAAATTGTTATTGGAATAAATTCTGATTGTTGACAAATGAAATTGGTTTTATTGATTCTGGGATATGAATGTTAGGCAAGCTATCAAATCGTCTCAATTCCTAATAGCAATATTTTCTTAATTTCTGCCAGAAATGGTGGAAGAACCCACTTCAAAATATTACTTTAATTCCAAAATATTCTTAAAGAGAGGAATTGATTTTTGACTTGAAATGCCTTTCATCTGAAAAAAGAGATAGGAACAAAAGATTTTTTTTTTTGTGTAAGATTTTGTTTGAACATGCATATTCTAAAAAAATAATTTTTGGAGTGATCATCAAGTTGATTGATCATTTCCAGACAAATATGTTGGCTCATTCAACCTCAATGATTCAATGATTCAACTGCTGAAAGGATTTCAACTTGATGGTTCCTTATCATTTTATATGGAGATTTCAAACATCTAATTATAATGCACAATATCAGTATAAGTAGCAAAGCTGAAATTACATACTACTTACTAGAGGTATCATTTTGCATGGACAATGACTAAAATTGATTTCAATTTTGTTTATCTGAGAAACCAAAATCTCTGTACATTTTGTACTTTCAATCAAACATGTTTGGCAAATGATCGCAAATCAGTGATCTTGATTCCTATAAAACTTTCTAATACATATACCACAATAATGGAGTGTTTTCAAATTTAACTCAGTTGAATGATACTCTATGTCAAACTTATACTTGATTGATGTCCAACTGAGGCTTGTGATTCTCAGACATTTGAGCTTCCCTCTTGGTGATGTCCGCAAAAAAATTACAAATCAACAGCCCTGGTTGGAATGGTTGGTTCTATGAAGGCTGTCAACTTTAATCACCTATTCAATAAAATATCAGTCAATGTATTGAAAAGGTTTGGTGAGATCTAGTAAAGATCAGTGGAAAGTAAGAATGATGTCTAATATAATAAATAATGACTGGACAATGTCTTCAATTTTCTAGATGACTTCCTCGGAAGTCAAACTATGATTAATATGTCCAATATCTATTATATTCTCCATCTTATTCTGTCTATTGAATAAGTGAATTGGTTTGGTTTCTATAGCTAAACGGTTCTTTCAGTCTAGTTAGTATTAGGCACTAGACTTAAATTAGCAGCTGATAACGCCTACTGTTCTTTCAGTCTAGTTAGTAGTAGGCACATGTCTTAAATTAGCAGCTGATAATGCCAACTGTTCTTTCAGCCTAGTTAGTAGTAGGCACTTGTCTTAAATTAGCAGCTGATAACGCCAACTCTTCTTTCAGTCTAGTTAGTAGTAGGCACTTGTCTTAGATTAGCAGCTGATAACGCCAACTCTTCTTTCAGCCTAGTTAGTAGTAGGCACTTGTCTTAAATTAGCAGCTGATAACGCCAACTCTTCTTTCAGCCTAGTTAGTAGTAGGCACTTGTCTTAAATTAGCAGCTGATAACGCCAACTCTTCTTTCAGTCTAGTTAGTAGTAGACACTTGTCTTAGATTAGTAGCTGATTAAGCTAACTGTTCTTTCTGTCTAGTTAGTAGTAGGCACTAGATTTAAATTAGAAGCTGTTAACGCCAACTGTTCTTACAGTCGAGTTAGTAGTAGTAGGTCCCATCACTTCTTTGGGTATTTTATCAGTAAATCGTAAATGTTTCTTTAAACTTTGAAAAGGATAAGGATAGATCTACATGAGCAATTTAAAAGGGTTGGGAAGTTAGTTAATAAAATCATTGAAAACTTTAGACTAAAATTTAGAATAATATGTCTCTTACCTTATCTAAATAAAAGATTTAACTAAAAGTTGTTTTGTTTTAAGT